AGCTTGATATCTAGATTACATTCTTATTTCAGGTGAGTTCTGAACCCAAGTGAAGTGTATGTTAAACCACTCCAAACCAAACCTATCTGAATCTAAGTGGTGTATTAGTCATAAATCTATAGGCAACTCTGAGAAAATATTTTTGTTCCTTTAACTTCAAATTCTAAAGTATAATAAATTAAATTATGCTTCCATTTTGTCTTGTGATAATAGCTTTGGGCACTTTTTAGGGTTTGTTTTGTTTTGTTTTCTGGCATAGTTTTGCACAGGTTAAGTCAACAACAGAGCCTCTTGGGCAGACACTGCTGAGTGCGATGTCAGATGCTGACACCCATTTCTCCTTTTTCTTATGGCACCTACCAAAAAACATAGGGTTTTCAGATTTCAAGAGGTCAATTACACTCATATTTCTTATCCCAATGCATCATGAATCATCTCCTTTCCCTTTTTAATTTTAAATTATATCAGGAGGAGGCACTTAATGCAAAAGGGGATGCATGTATATTGGGAGCTCCACAACCAGAAGTATATTTGGCAGTTTGAAGGGAGACTGAAACTACAGTTGTTTTGGGAGAGCATTTGATTGCAGCAGCTTTCAACAATGGAATGGTTTCAGGGCTTAGGAAGTTAACAAATGGAATAATTAAATAACAGGATAAAAAGTAGTGGTAAGAAAAAAATTGGGATGACAGAGGTCATTGCTTTTCTAGTGCTGGGCTGATCTCTGCAGAAGTCACTGCAGCAAGAGCCCTTCAGCAAGAAACAGCAGAGCACAGTAATTACTGTTGGCCCCATGATTGATACCAGTCCAGTATTGATCAGAAGCAGTGATTGGGGCTGTTTCATGGGGATTTTGATGCTTGTATAAATGTATAAATGAGTTGTAGTGGTAGAAGTTGCGTGATGTATTTACCCAAACAGTTGGGAACTCGAGGGCTTCTATGAAGCCTGTGACTGGGTTAATTACAAGAGAGAACTAAGAACGGTGTATTCTCCACAGTTTACAGAAGCACAATGGTGGGGTGCAGAGCTCAGCCTTTGTAAGAAGCAGCTTGTGCACAGCTCTTTACTTCTGCATTATGTACATGATGTAACTTCTTAGGGCCAACATGAGTTTTTACGGTGTCCTACCTTCTTAGCTTTGCCCCTAGGGCTGCATTTGCAAAGTCCTTACAAAACTAGTTACTGAAGTTATTAGAGGATATTAACAAATATCCTCTAAGCACCAAAAGACTTTTATTGTTGTTTTCTTGCTTTCCATTGACATTTTCTCTAACTGCAGAATGCATTCCTATTTTTTTAAACTGCTGTGGTCCTTGCTAGTCGCGTGGGTTTGAACCTCCAAGTCCAATTTGGACAGTGATCGCATGGCAGTGTTATAAAAAAGCATAAATTCTGCTTTATGCTTGTTCGAACAAAGCCACGAAAAGCAGCCACCAGGCAAGAGAGGTGTGAACAAGTTATACAGGGCTTCACAGGTGGCTCTGCAAGTCCAACCAGGTCACTCCCCCAAACTGGTGATTGTTTCCCAGTTGGTGGTATTCCCCTTTCCAAAACCCCTTCCTTCAACATGGGCCAGGCTGGTTCTTCCACATTTCAGCTAAAACCAGTCTTTTCTTCATCAGCCACTCGGATTAGGAACCAGCACTTGCCTCTGCTCTAAGACGGCAGATCCCAGAGTAGCACAGAGCAAACAGTCCTGCTAGAAGATCGAAGGGAGGGTACATTTATTCTAAAGCTATTTTCAAAGTGATAACATGTATGACGTTACTACTTCATATTATCCGTCAGCCACATGGCAGGTTTCCCAGCCAGAACTCTCATAATTGTGATCTTCTCCTTTCCCATGCATCTACCTTATTGTCTTTCAAGGAAAACTCTGGCATTTAAAGATGTGGTAGAGTTCCCACCACTGGAGGTTTTCAAGATGCAGTTGGACAGGGAGCTCAATAATCTCATCTAGGCTCCCTTTTCCATGAAAGGTTGGACCAGATGATGCTTCGAAGTCCCTTCCAACCTGGGCTATTCTATGATTCAAGTTTGTGGTTGCAGTGGCAAGATACTAAATGTGACCCATTTTTTCCTCAAAGTTGTAGAAAAGCTATTTAATAAATGCTGTCCTGGTAGATTTTTTTTTCACTTGGTCTCAAATTTTGCAGACTTAGGAGCACCTAAGTACAAGCTACCATTTGCCTGATAGCTTTAGTTCCACATTGCCATATTTAATCGTTATTTGGGACTTGCATTATTATTTACTGAAGGTGGCTGCAGGCTTGGGAGTACTGCAGAGATCCACATAGTGTGAGTGAATTAAGGTACCTGCTCTTATTTACGCAATACAACAAGCCCATAGTTGTGAAAGCTGCACCCCACCCCTCAACAGAAAGAGTATTTAAATTAAGAATTATCCAGTTATGACAAGAGCCAGAAACAGAGACTGTAATGTACCTACAAAGCTTTCAGTGAATAAACTTTCTCTAAAACAGGTTAACTCCTGCTTGAAGAAGAGTGACTTAACTGCAATTTATGATGCTGGATAATTAAATTTTTTAAAAGGCTGAATGGGGACCAAACCACTGTTGGGGGAAACACAAGGAAAACAAATCTGAGATGTCAAATCCTAACAGATTTTAATGTGAATATCTATCACCACATTTATCCAGTGCCCAAATCAGGTTCTGTAAAGTATTGTATTTCAAACTTTATTTCAAGATGTTTCAGCCCTTTATTGTAAAAAAGTCAATCTTCTGAACATCAGCTAGTCCTTAATACCCAAGAGAGGTGGTATATCCCCTTCATTTCATTGTCCCAGGGAACTGTTGTTTACATCTGCAACGATGCAGCACTCACCAGCAGCATGGACAGACCTATATAGACAATCTATATAGTTTTGACAACAAAATAGAAATAGGAAAAAAACCTGAATATTGGTGACACCGATACCAGCATACTTCCAACACTCAGGATCACTCTTGCCTAAGTGAGACCCGGCTAAAGATTGCTTATGTGCAATTATGTCATAATCATACTCTTACTTGAACTTCTAACATACCTAGAAATCAAGCCAAGAATGAAGACTAATGCTTCACAATTGTAACATCTTAAATTAAAAAACCATTAAGTACATCCTCTCGGTGTTGTGGAAATATTGGTGCCACTTCAATATGAAAAGAAAATCAGTGACAGAGCATTTTCTGTCTCTCCCAGTAGCACGTGGACAGGTGGTATCCCTGTCTGCTCCTTTCTGAGCTCAGGAACTGCTCCTAGTGACACACACCAACTTACAGGCAGTTTGTCACATTCTGTAACTTCTTCCCTGTATCCCCTACTCCCCCCTGCCCCCCAAAGCTAACAGTTTTACAGCTACTAAACAGTTAAATGTAACAACATTTGCATAAGCTATACTCCACTCAATATAATATACCCAGAGGTAATGCTGTCCTTTTTAGAGTTCAAGAGTGCTCACATCTTTCTAAATACTGGAGATTTATGAGTGGGAATTTCAAAAGCAACTCAGTGTCATCACTAAGACATGACAAATAAATTCTGAATAGTGGCCTTTGGAGGTCCTACTAGCAGGAGTTCATTCAGGTCACTTTCATTCATATGATAACAGATCAAAGCATTTCATGCTCCTATGAATTTAAAATCACAGATGTATTCTCAATATTGCAAGGTGTTTTTCAAATGAGACCCATATTAAATAGCGAAAAGCTGACCACATCCACTTCAGTGTTTCAAAATATACCTTGTTTCAGGAAACAAAAGAATACAAAATAAGGCATTTAATTGAAAGAAAAAGCATCTTACAAAAAATTGTTTATTTCTTAATCACAACTGTATTAAGAAAATCTTAAAAGACAACTAATACAGCGTTTATTTAGATGCAGCATAAATCCAAACAATGCACAAAAATATCAAGTGTTTATTTTTACAGTTTAAGTCCATATATTCTTCTTATAATTTTGTGCCTTTCCACAGGAACAGACATACAGCAGACACGGTTTATTCTTTTCAGAAAGCTTTTACAAGTTATATCATCTGTATAATTGGATAACATGGTGAACTAGTGCCAGTGATAAGTTTCAGGTTTATATGGACCAGAATTCAAAAGAGTAAACCCAACAAGGAAGGTGTTAAAAATTTGTAATATTCCCATAAAAGGTGACATAATACACAATTCAAGTGAATGAAGACAAGCAACATACACAAGACATTAGTAAAAAAAAAAAATAAAATTGATGTTTAATACATAATACCTATCTCTAAAGATAGAAAGAAAAAGCTTTTTATAAGTTACCTTCTGAATGTTGACAGTGACAGGTTATTATGAGGGTATCTCTAAAGTTTACAGTCTGTGCTGGACAAATGACTTTCACCTCTTTTATAAATTAATGATGGAAAATGGAAACACTTAACATAGGTGCCTGAGCACCAAAAGTTAAATTCCTGTTTTGAAATAGTTTATAAGTGAGACTTTCCCCATTCACTACGAGGATAACCTCTGTAGCTTCTTTGGCTGAGGCCATCATCTCTGAATTGCAACCCCAGACAAAATGGGAAACACCACCACTCAGGGAAGTGGAGGATCTCATCAGGATACAGAACAGGCAACTTACTCCGCCCACTGCCCCCCCTCTCCCTCCACTACCCTTGCAAAAAAACAAAAAAAAAAAAAACAAACCCCAAAACCAACCAAACAAACAAAAAAAACCCCTAAAGCCCAAAAAAACCCTACTGTAGATTATGGGAAATAACAGAATTTAACCATTTCACTCATGATACCACTGACTATATAAAGTTGCAGAGTACTTTGTGTCTGTCCTGGACAATAGCCACAATGCTCCACCACACTGATAGATGTAGATTAGACTTTCATATCCAGCTTCTTGCCCTTCCAGATGCTGGGGACTGGAGAGAACATAGACGCCAACCCTTCAGCTCCATGCGGATAAATGCAGTGCTTCACCTCGCTTGGCAATGATCTACATCCATTTAAAGAGCAGCAAGAGCATATCGACAAAACCCCTTCCTTGCCCTGACAGATGCCAACTGCCATTATGAAGCTTACAGCCTTTAAATTGAGATGGAAAGTTCTTTGGCTCTCTGAAAGTTTCAGATGTCTCTCTCTCTTCAAGAAAGTTCAAAAAGAACTTTTTGAAGTCTTTCAGTAAGACTGAACACAGCATGCAGAAAACCTTAACCATTTCAGCCCCTGGGCCAGAAACACCACGCCATGCCTGGAAGCATCAAAGCTATGATTATAGAAGAAAAAAGATTTACTGCATTGTTGTCTAATATAGGTTTTCCAGATATGTGCTTGGAATCTTTTGTTTGGTGGTTGACAACCATGCCGATATTCTGGTCAAAACCTGTGAAAAAGATAAAGACTTAATTTCACAAAGCCAACCAAGCTGAAAAAAAACTTAGTAACCATGTGTATGTAACTTCCTAAATTTAGTTTACCACGATTGTGTTAAACCTCTGTAAGAAAAAACATCAACAGACTAAACTGAATTATGGTTAGTTTAATCTGGTAGCTTCAAAGAATGGGATATAAATGCAATACTTCATGTTACAAGTTATTTCTTTTGAAAAGTTACACTTCTGTCAGGTCTGCTTCTCTCTTTATGCAATTTCATAGCAAAGAAAGGAACGAAAGAAGCTGAATCTGAGGAGGAAAAAGCTATTCTGACAGCCATTCTAAGGCAAAGGATGCTGCTTTCAACAGAAGAGAAACAACTTATTAGCAACATGTATTTTCTTGTCAAGAAGATGTATTTGTTTTCAAAGGAAAATTATAGAAATAACATTATTACTTGATCTGACAGAAAACAAGCTCCATACAGAGGCTGAATTTATAATTTCTATTTACACAGCAGTTTTATACTACCAGCAGCTGGATTTCTTCCCTAGTACTTAAGCCATTTCTTGCTCTACCTCTGTATTATCAGAACTCTAACACTGTGTTTCATTAGCTGTTACTGTACACACACCGGTATCCTATGCTTTCTCCAGCTGCATTATTTGATATGGTGATAAAAGCATAAAATTCTACTACACTTGATTTTAATGCCAACTCATACTTATAGTGATGTATAACTGGGTACATGCATATGCACGCATTTAAGGTTGACATGAAGAAACATTACAAATCAAATCACTACAATTTATATCAATGCTATTTTTTCTGTAGATTTGAATATCTGCTAATACCCAGAACATGGAAATTTCATTTTGAGTTGCTGCTTTGTTACAAAAAAATTTTCAGCACCTCAGACAAAACTTAAAAAAATCCCACAGCACAAACCTGCCTGGCAGGTATATAACTGATATTACTTTACAATCGAATCATACATTTTAACCTAGCACTGGGTAATGCAAAAGAGCTACAGAAACATCAGACTTCAAAGCCTGATAGTTTAACTCTTAACAGTTGCTATGTTTTAGAAAGTCTTAAGTTTTCTGCAGAGAAAAACTGGGAGTAACTTTTTATAAATGTACACCTCAAATGCACATAAAGCGTAGGTTCAGAGCATAAACAAAGGGAAAAGGCAACACTAAGTCTTTCCACTAACTTCATTATTTACAGCTATTCAAAGTTTTACTTAATAAATGTGTGGGCAGGGAAGGACTTTTAGAAACAGTGGGCAACACAGACTATTCCATAAACCAAATCTAGGAAGATGACCAACAGGAAACACACTGACAGGAGGGATTAGCAGTGGTAGCATAATGTTTTCAAAAAAAGACACAATTCTTTATTACCACTGCCATATTTATTTATTGTTTTTCAAGATGCTGCAGAGAGAGTATTGGAGTCTTTCTTATGAGACCACATCGAGTAGGGGTTGGAAAAGTGGGTTAAAGTAAGGAGGGACACAAAACCTAACAGTGTGCACCCCACAAGCAGCGCTAATGCATCTGTACCACAGCATATATATACCATAGCATATATGTGTATGTAGTATAAATACTTCAGCAGCACTGATGAATTTGCAAAAGAAATTGTAGAACTTGCATACTTGTCCCTGCTGCGGCTAGCAAGATAAGTTGCTGAGTATGGAAAAATATCTGAAGTGAAGAAGGAAGAGATGCTGATAAATGCAGACCTGCATTAGCTAGGTTTACCTCATTCTCTTAATGCATCTGCCTCATTAGGAGAATGAAACATTGTCTGAGTGCTTAAGTGTTTTCTCTTTAGTACAGAAATATTGTATCTAAAAATTCCTCAAATGGTTAAACACTCCATTATATTTGGGACTTGCCTGGAGTTACAAGGAATAGAGCATAAAAACCGCTGGAAAGCCAAATCCACAGCATCAACAACAGTTTGCAGTTCTCACTGTGCTGGTAGATTTAAAGGACTTTTATCTCTCAGGCAGCTCATCTGCACATTGAAACTTTGACTTCCAACAAATAAGTATACTGACAACAAAATCTGAAAGCTTAAGTTATCTCTGTAAACAAGCTGTTAAACAGAATAGTGTCAGATATGGTCTTCAAACAATTTTTAAACACAGAGTAAGTTTACAGTTTAGCCTAAAGATTGTCTGTAACCTTTATTCACAGACAATGATCCTCAAGGACAATGAGTAAATAAACACTGAAATTGTTTAGAAGCAGCCATCCAACAATCTTTTTAAAAATGGACATGATTTTTTAAATGTATTTATTTTAAAGTTACAGCTAGTTTGTGATAAGCTTAACTTATAGCAAACAGTACTCTATTAAGGTGAAAAATGAGAACATAAAATATCGTGCACATTTTCCTGGAGCTCTTATTTAATTCTTAAAGCTGATACTATTGTTAAGCCTTCAGAGTTAGAAATGGAGCTTCTGCAGTGACAACTTAATCTGAGTGAATGACATTTTCTCTTATAAAATGTTACCATAATTAGATATATAAAAAAGGAGAGGGCAGCAACTGCTTTTTCCAAGGTAACATGTTGGAGATCTCTGGTCTCTTGCAGTCATCAAGAAGACAGTAACAGAAGATAAACAAATCAAAATGTGGAAAAAGACCAACTACCCTTGCACTTGCTTTCATTATCATGTCCATCATTTTGGCTCCCTTTGTCCTTTGTGTTGCTAATTTTGTATTTTTTCCATTTAAAAATTGTGTGCTCAGCCCTTCTTGAAATGCAAGTCCATTTTTAGGTTGCATTAGGAGAGGAGAGGGGAAAAAAAAGGAAAAAAAAAAAAAGAGAAGAATCTTACCGCTGTACTGCATCGTAGCTCCCAAAAATGAATCCACAATTGATCCCAGTAAGCCAGCTGCTGCACCAAACACAACAATAGGCCACTGCGGAGCAGATGCTTCCAGATCAGTCACGAAAATGAGTTGTGTTAGGAAGTAGGCCATCCCTACTGCCATGCCGCCAAGCAAACTTGAGAGCAGGCCCACCAAAGTAATTCCTCCATTAGTACCTAAATCAAACAAAAATTAACTTGATTTACAAACTTTTTCTTAAAGACTTATATTTGTTCAAATGTCTTATGTTAAATCAAAACTGTATTCAGAGATCTTTCCCCCTTTCATCCCCAGGGCTCTGCTACCACAGCTTTTACTTACAATTCCCATTATGCTTCTGAGAAGCTTAACCTGTACCATTACAGCCTATTAGTATTGCTTTTCTTGTCCCTAAGGCTAGTTACCTAGAAATATTCACTAGTATTAAATTAAATAAAACCAGATAGCACACTTCTCAATGTCACCTGGTATTTGTCTGCTGTAAGGTCCAGGGGGCAGGATAAGAAAAAGATTTGCTCCAAAAAATACAGAATTTGAGATGTGCATGTTATTAAAGCAATGTCTGTTTCAGAAAAATTATACCAAGACATAATTCACCAACGCATTGAAGAGAAAGAACAAAATCCATAGAAAGATGTTTGACAGCTCATTGAATAAAAATCTGAACACTTATAAAGAGAAAAAAAAATTGCCCACGCATTTAAATCCAACTGAGTCCAACTCTTGCCCTAGCACAGAACTATCCCAAGATTCAGACCATGCATCTGAGGGCATTGTCCAAATGCTTTTTTAATATTGTAAGGCTTGGTGCTGTGACTACCTCCCTGGGGAGCCTGTTCCAGTGCTCCACCACCCTCTGGGTGAAGAACCTTTTCCTAATGTCCAACCTGAACTTGCCCTGGTACATCTTCCTGCCATTTCCCCTGGTCCTATAATTGGTCACCAGAGAGAAGAGATCAGGACCTGCCCCTCCTCTTCCCCTTGTGAGGATGTTATAGACTGCGATGAGATCTGCTATCAGTCTTCTCTTCTCCAGGCTGAACAATCCAAGCGACTTCAGCCTTGAAGATTCACTTTACCTACCTTTGGTAAGGTGTTAAAGGAAATGAGCGATTTTGTTAAGTGATTTTTTCTGTAGTGTTTGTATTGAATATATATATTCTTCTATTGATCAAAATTTTAACATCTGAAGAATTCAGTGGATAACTTGTATTCTTTATATTACTGGCAATACAAACACGTTTTATAGCATCAGAGATGAGAAGCGACAGCAATCACCGAGAATGACTCTGGCTCCCTGGATGCTATGCTGGGGCATCTCACCAACGAGATGTAGCAGAAATACAATTGAATATACTCCATCTCAGAGAATGCACTCCTGCTAATAATTTCTAATCCCAGATTTCTGATGTTTGTTTTTCTGTAGGTTTTTTGGAACTTTCCAAGTTGGATGCATAATTCAAAAAAGATCAGCAAAATATTAAGAACATGTAGAACAGATAACACCTTACCTACTGGAACCTTTTCCCAGGTGGTTATCAACCTTGGCTTGCTTTTACTCATAACACTACCAATCTCTGAAGCCCATGTATCACCAGCAGAGCATGCCAAAGCTCCCAAAAGGGACAAGCACATCCATGATGCTGTGTAGTGCTTTGAAAAGTCGATTGGAATTTCACCTGGTCCATTTTCTATCATATATAAGAGAGCCAGCTCAGTAGGAACACCACCATTACAGAATACTTGCACCCAATTCCTCTGTCCACCTAAAGTGACAAAAACTAAATTTTAGTATTTTTAGGCAAAATACCTTGACAAGCAACAGCATGAGACAAAAGCAAAATACACATATATAAAGTTAAATGTAAACGGACACACTTTCAAATCAGAAACTAGATAGCAATTTACTAAACAGAACAGAAGCAAAAGCAAAGCTGCTTGCTACTCTTCATAGGGATAAGGGTGGAGGGGAGGCACGACAACAGCGTTCCCTACGTTGGATGTTACATCTCATCTGACCCTTTGAAAGGAAGAGGAATATGCTGTATTTATTCTCCACAAGGGATCTAAAAGACTTAAAATGTTATGACTTACCTTCTTTGTATTCAGAATCTATTTGCCTCTTTATATCTTTTTTCCACTTAGTAAGTTTTGAAGAAGTAACGAAAAATACAAACAAAGAAGTGAAGAAACTGTAATTTGCAACTGTAAGGATAAATCCTACCACCAATCCTATGAAGAAAAAGAAAAGTATATAAAGTTCCTTCATGTAACAATGTCTGTTTTGCAAAGCAATTAAGTATTTTGAATCTCTTGAATATGAAGAGAATCTTCATGATAAACCTAAGAAAATCATGCAATAAGAGAATTACTGGTACCAAATACCCGTATGAGAATTTCAGTGACATCTTGACTGAAAAAAAACCCAACCCAGCTATCTTTACATTTTTCTCTTAAATTTTATTGTTAAATTGCTAATTTTATTGCTACTGCTAAAGTGTGTGATTTTTTAAGACCTTCTCTTGCCACAAATCAGTAATAATGTGCAAAAATAAAAGAGAAAAAAAAAGCCAAAGGATATCTAATTCAAATTTAAGTACCCTGCCTGAAGAATATGATTATTTGTATAAGAAGTATACATACAACTGTGGCTGTATCTCCATTAGCAAGTTTATATTCAGTTTAGGAATCAAATCCTTCCCCTAAGGTCTCCAAAATAACCTGGATAACTCTCCAATGTATCTCAACAGCTGCTGCTTCTCCCTTCTGTTCTTCATTTTATTTTACTGTTTCAGATTTTTATGTCATCTTTTTATTTCTGTAATTTTCTTAAGTATTTGAGCTCCTGGATGTGCTTCTTTTTCAACTCGTCCCTGCCAGGGAAGGTCTAATTCTCACTGCCCTCCAAGAGATTACAGTTCTTCGTCACTGAAAGAAAACTGGCTGCCCTTAAAGCAAATGCCAATATAAGCTGGCTAGCAGAGCTGTTATATTAAGAGGTAAAAGCGTAGCAGAACAGATTTTTTTTTTTTAATTTAGAAAATGCGCCCTGTAACATACAGATAGAACAAGATTTGCAAATGGGTGACACGGAAGGCAAGGATTTGAGGTCCTCTTTCTTTCCACTGACCACCAATTCAGACAATGTCACCAGACGAGGGTGAATCGCCTCACACAGAAATCTCACATCACATTCCAACAGACACTACTGTACACGACACTGAGGTTTTTCTCACATGGTCAAGCAAAACCTTTGAAACAGTCATGTGGTTGAAGTGAAGGACAGATTTAATTCTCTTATTTTTGTTAGGCAAAAAGTGCCTAAAACTGCTCATATTACAGAAAGGAGAACCATGTGTTTTCTTTACTGGTTTCCTACAAGGCAGGTAGGCTGCTGACATGGCTCAGTTTTATGGTATTTCTTTGCCACTGCCTCTGCCCTTTCATTATTTCTCCGTGAATCCATCTATATGTTAAGTAAAACAGAATCACACAGAATGTTAAGGATTGGAA